GTTTTTTGAACATTAAAGCATGTCAACATATTCTGTTACACCAAATACACAAAATAATGATCTTTTAAAAAGCATCATATGACCCCTTTAATACTGTATTGTTACCAGGATGATCCATAGCTTTTTTTTTATTTTACTGATAATTGTTCACGATTCCCTTTTGTCCTGAACCGTTAAACTGCCCACTGTTCTTCAGAAAAATCCTTCAGGTCCCACAAATTCTTTGGTTTTCCAGCATCTTTTGTGTATCTGAACCCTTTCCAACAATGACTGTATGATTTTGAGATCCATCTTTTCACACTGAGGACAACTGAGGGACTTATAGCTATTTCAAAAAGGTTCGAACGCTCACTGATGCTCCAGGAGGAAACACGATGCATTAAGAGCCTGGAGGTGAAAACATTTTTAATTTGAAGATCAGAGTAAATGTAATTTATTTTGTCTTCTGGGAAACATGTAAGTATCTTCTGTAGCTTCTGAAGGGCAGTACTAAATATAATGAAATTTACGCGTTTGGTCTCGTACTGTATCGCGTACCTTGTCAGTGTCGTGCGGTAGTTGTTTTTTATGTTTGGCTTAGTGTTATGTTAGAATTATTATTATACTCATAATGCAATGCGATGGCGCCGCAGACGGCAGCCTCAGTGTTTGGCTCTCCAGTGTTTGTACTGTTTTTGTTAGTTTTTCCTGTTTTTTGTTTCTCAAACACGATCAGGTTTACCAGGGATGAGCTGCTGAACATTCGGCAGAACACACCACACAATCTTCTACCGGATTTCGTTTATTCGGACGTTTTGCTGAACGTTGTACTTGGCGGAGCAGCTGCGCTGATCAAGCGCTTCAGGACGCGCAGACGGGGGAAGAGAGCCGGCGTGCTCGTGAAGCTCAGGAAGCGCGGATTCAGAACGCTCTGAACTTTTATAAAGAATATCTCTTTGGATTTGAGACTTTAGTCTTTGCAACTTTACAGATCTTCTTTATGCACCAAGAGCTTGTAACACTCCAAAGAGAAAGGAAAAATTGAAATCGCATCATATGACCCCTTTAATTAATTGTTTCCTTCTGGAGCATCAGTGAGCCTTTTAACCTTTTGCAATAGATATGTATGAGTCCCTCAGTTGTCCCCCAACGTGATTTTGAGATTGCGTCATCCCTGAACATGATTTTGAGGGGGCCCCATAGCAAATTCAGTGCACAGGGCCCAGAATTCCTGGTGATGACACTGCATACTACTGTGCAAGATAATACATACAGATCAGTTTAGAATTGAAGCGACCATTTTCCAACTGAATTAAATGGGTTTTTTATTTATTTATATAAAAAAGCAAAACGATAGTGGAGGCATGTAATGTAAACATAGCGGTGGCATCGACTATGCTCATTTCACGCTCACTTGGAGACACCTCAATGAGAAATTTCGTGGCACGAGATCTCGTCACACCCCTAGTTATTATGTAAACATTTATTACGTAAATCAATATGCAGTCATTTAATTGCTCCATGAGAACACAGTGAACAAAGTCATGTCTACATTTTCAGATGTGCTCATACAGCAGCAAAAGAAGAAGTGGATCTTTGCCCAGTACTCACTTTATCCACTTCCTCACTCCACAGCTGGAACATGCAGCATAACGACAAGAGAAGAACAGTGACGACAACATAACACAAACCCTCTCTTTACAAAACACTGACTAAATTTCACATGTAAATGTAAATAACTAACATAAAAAAATAATAAAATTTTTTAAAAGTGTTGTACTGTTACACTTCATGGGATCTTAAGATGGAAAGAAACAGTCTAATGTAATCAGACACATAAGCAGTACAGGATCCTGAACCCTAATGTCAAGACCCTATTAACACAACAACTACAATGAAAAATAAGAGCACACACATATCTTTTAAATAAAAGTGAAAGAATAAAAGCAAAGTTTTCCACCCCCTGCATTCCACTGCAAATGTTCATCACAGGGGATTTTCATGTTTTGACTTATGCAAAAACATGATGTTATCATTATTTCAAAACATCAAACATGCAAACTATATTACAGAACCAGTCAAAAGTTTGAACATGCTTAAATCAGGATTTTTTAGCATATTAGAATGATTTCTGAAGGATCATATGACACTGAAGACTGGAGTTACTGCTGCTGAAACTTCAGCTTTGCCATCACAGGAATCTTTTCCAATAGAAAACAGTTATTTAGAATTGTAAAAATATTTCACAATTTATTTCACTTTATTTTACTACAATTGATATCTTAGATGCAAGATGGTGATCGTTGTGTTTCTATGAAAAGAGAGTGGACTGATAAACAGAGTTGCCATGAATGATGGGAAAATGATTGGTTGCAACTAATCGATGAAAATTGAGCATTCCAGAAAGTTGTTTAATAAAACGCTTTAATGACTTTCCACACTTAAGAATAAAGAAGGAGTAGCTGTGTCCAAACTTTTGAGCTTTACTGTACATAACATATCTATATGAGCACACACAAACAACAACAACAAACCACCATTATGTACTACTGGGACTAATCGACTATATAGAAGTACTGCATCAGCTTTCGCCAAAACATTAATCAAACACACAGGGAAAGGCACACAGGCACACAACACTGCAAGAAGGGAGATGGAAAAAAACTGCAAGAAGGGAGACGGAAAAAAGAAAGTGTTACTGTGGTAAACTCACAACATTGACAGAATGGAAAGCAGGACTAGTTTTAAACAATGGGTCAACAAGAAAGGAAATGCTAATGTCCATCACTGAGCTGTGCTGACAAGACACACACAATAAATGCTGCTTGTCTGTAAGTACACTACTCTATGAGGGGTTTATATAATGCTTCACTTCAGATTCAAGTTCTGTCAATCAGAGATGAATCACCAACTTCACTATCCCACTGCGTGGAATAAACAAAACAAAGACGATGGGACGATGGAAAAGTTTCAGTGAGGCCCTTTTCTCACTATCACCTGCAATTTTCAACCACTTCAAATTCCAAGTAATGGAAAAGGGAAGAGGATGATGCTACTGTATATCCAAAGTGCTTTATCTGATGATTTTTATCCACGATAACAGTATACTGCTATACCACCCCCATAGAGAAAGGACTGTCGGAGGGCATCCTGCTGATCTACATTTTGGTGCAGATATTGGTGAGGAAATAGTGTATACAAATCAAGGCCATGTAGAAAGAAAGAGAAAGAAAAAGAGAGTGTGTGGGGGAAGACTTCTAATGCTAAGGGTCTGCAGCCTTCTTACCGCAGATGCACTGGCCGACAGAACATAATTGCGTGGCCTAGTCTCCTGAAAGTCAGGCGCAGCCTACAGGTGGAGGGGGGGAAACAGAGTTTTACAAAGAATTATGTGTCCACATGAACTGACCCAGCAGACAACACTATTTTCATATTTGCATATAAAAACAGAAAACAAACACACTTGACAAACCAGCCTGTAACCTCTCCCACACACAAACAGACAAATTAGGATGGCAGCTGCAGATTTTTTTGTATCACTTCATTGCACTCCAAACCAAATACCAATAATAACAAAATGATAAAAGAAAGTAAAATATAAAAAATAGAATAAAAATCATGATCATTTATTGATATGCTCTTACTCTTACTTAGTCATTTTTCAGTAGTTTTTACAAATAGTCTTGTTTTAGTGCTTAAGGGTTAAATTAAGGTACACATTACTTACCATAAAAAGCAACAATTTAAAGGGGTCATATTATGCAATTTCAAGTTTTCCTTTCTCTTTGGGTGTTACAAGCTGTTCGTGAATAGATAAGATCCCTAAAGTTGCAAAGACTAAAGTCTCAAACCCAAAGAGATATTCTTTATAAAAGTTAAGACTGGTCCACGCCCTCCTAAAACGCCTCGTTTAAACACGCCCCCACATATCTACGTCACTGTGTGGGAAGATTTGCATAACACCGCCCAAATGTTCACGCAAAGAAAGAAGGCGTAACTGTGATTCTCGCTGTAGTATTGTTGCTGCTGCCGCCGCCGCCATGTCATGGAGACGGTGTGTGTTTCATTATGAAAGTGTAGCAAATTAGCTCAAAAGGGAAATGTATATAAATAATTACAGTTAA